GCCCGGATGCCTTTTAAAGTATCCCTAAATACATTTCTTAAGCCCTCATTTAAGTATGAAAGAAATTGGACCCCAAAAGGCAATTTTCATGAGCTTCTAAGCTTTGCTCTTTTCCCAGGGTCAGGAGGAGGATAGGTTTTTTTGCTTGTCCCTAACTCCAAGGCATCCACTGTCCCTTGCTGATTTCACATCTTTCTACCTCTCCCAGCTTTGTATTTGTTCTTTAATATTCCAGGAGTAGGCTTGGCGCCCATGCTCAGAGGTTAGGGCCGTGTATACTGGGGCTGGCGGGTTTGAACCCGGCCCAGGCCTGCTAAACAACAGTGACAACTGCAACAAAAAAATAACTGCCGGGCATTGTGGCAGGCACTTAGTCCCAGTACTTGGGAGGCTGAGATAAGAGAATCACTTAAGCCCAAGAGTTTGAGGTTGCTGTGAGCTGTGATACCACAGCACTCTACCGAGGGTAACATAGTAAAAAAAATATATATTCCACGAGTATACAAACAACAGTTTTATACAAGGGAAGGAAAATGTTTTTTAGTTTGACTCCACTGTACAGGCAACAACTTAGTCTTTCTGGAAACCACAACTGTGTTAAGTTCTCATTTCAAAGTACCACTTAAGATCCCTTAATAGTCTTGCCCCCACAACTGCCTAGGGACAGCCAAGAACTAAAGCAGAGGCAATGTCTTCTCCAGAAGGTGTTTTATCATTGTCATGGATATCTCATCTTGCACACCACCTCACCCTTACAGCAAACACCTTTTCATCGCTCACCCTGAAAATGGAAGAGAAAATAGGGAGGGGTGAGGGAGGCCGCCATTCTCTTCCTCATGCCCAGCTCCTGGCCCCTGATCAGTAGTGAAGGATGGGACATGAGGGACGTGACAGGTCCCGTCAGGTTTTTGGGTTGGATCAGCAGCTGAGCAGAAGGATGGTTGTTCATCGAGAAAGTTCAAGTTCAAATTCAAAGTAGTTTGTGAGCCTGCGCTACAAAGATGAGCTCAGAGCCTGTCATCTGTTATAACCACCATTTACTTTATTTGTCCCAAAATTTATTACCTTGTTCTTACCATGCTGAAGCACATCTTTTTTTGATTTTCTGGTTGGTGATTCAGTGCCCGAAATTTGGACTAACATGAGTCTTCCGCTGCCCAGGGCCTTCCCCCAGCCCTAGGTCTCCCCTCCCACCTTCCCAGTCCTCTGGGGCCCCCCACCCTGCCAGATGCTGCTCGGTAAACACTCCAGATGGTTCTCCTCTGGGAACCGTCTCCACTCCTAACTTCTACTTAACATTTTTAGCTAATTCTCTTTGCTGCCATCATCTGAAGCTATTTACAGAATTGAAGTGATTATGTGTGCTGGCTATTACAAATAATTTCCCATTGTATAATTTTGACACAGCTTTCCATCCTTACGTTCTAGTTTTCCACACACTCCATAGAGAAGTTACAGAGTCCTGTGAGTAAGAGGAGAGAATGTTCTTCCCCTAGCCCTCTCCACCTCTCCGTCCTGGGGTGATGCCTGGAGCACTTTTCTGGGCCGTGGCTGAGGGCTCAGAGCCTGTCATCTGTTATAACCACCATTTACTTTATTTTTCCTAAAATTGATTACCTTGTTCTTACCATGCTGAAGCTCATCTGCTTCTTTTCTACCCACTCACCCAGCTTGGTGAAGTGCTTCCTGCTGTTTATCACCATCAGCTTGGAACTTCACCATCTGGGAGCGCTTCGTGTTTTCTAGAAATGTCGAAACATCACTTGTACTCTGGCTGAACACCATTTATAAAAGCAGCAACTCAGATGGGCCCAAGCACGTTTCCGTGGGGTGAGGTGCCCACTTCAATTATCTTTTGCTTTCTCTCTCCTGACCAGTTCACAAACACGGTCATACCATTCGCCCCATGTGGTTCTGGTATTTTTCCTTTCTTCGAGAATATTCTAAGGCACTACTTATTCTCCAAACACTCCCTTTAGCTCTCCCTTCAATCCTGGAAGCCTGTTCTTTCTACAAGGATAAATTTCACTGTAGCTGCATAATCACGTTTTTATCTCTATGCTCAGATTCTGAAGTATTATAAACAATTCAGTACCTTTCATGGCTGGAGAGTCGGAACTTTTGTTCAGACATGATTAAGAGAATTATCCCTGGCCAAAAGAGCTTTCTTAAGACTTGTTGTATATAGGAATCAATGACCAGTTTTTGTCAAGACCTGTGCTAGATTTCATGGGGTTTTCCCATCAACAAGCTTATATCTACTAGAGAGGCCTTTTCCCCAAATATCCCGAACACTCCCCTGACCTTGGCTCCCAAGACTTCGCTCACACTCTTCCTCTCAGCCTAGAGTGTCCCTCCCTGATAGGTGCCCAACATGGACCCTCTGCAGAAGGTCCCAAGATTACCGTATGTAACAGGCCTTTTGAGTAGGGCTGCTTCCCCTGTGCACCCACTCTCCCTTAAATCATTTGCAACATCATGTATGCATGTTGGAGACAGTGATGGTGTTCACCAGATGGTCTTGATTATATTCTCTTTATTGACCCCAATGTTTTCTACAATGCATAGCACAAAATGTGATATACATGCATAGAGATGTAGGTGTGTGTGCCAGTAAATGTGGGAAATGTTGGACTAATCAAAACTATACAGGTGTCTTCACTGCAGGTCTTCTCAGAGGCTTAATAAGCTACCCAGTGTGGTGGGCATGAAGAGCAGGCCATCATATATAGTCGTCTTCAGACTCATTAACTGACCACAGAACTTCTTTCCTGGAGCATTTAACAGGTCGAATGGTCTATACATCTTGGAGTCCATTGTCATAAATCAGTGACAGCATGTCCTGTGTCCAGCATGTCCAGATCACCTAGGGAGCTTGTGACAATCTGGGTTAGAGTGTGGGAATCTACTTGTTGGTTATTGTTCGTTGTTTTTTCCTTAAAGCTTTCCTTGGGGCAGCGTCTGTGGCTCAGTGGGTAGGGCGCCGGCCCCATATACCAGGGTGGCAGGTTAGAACCTGGCCTTGGACAAACTGCAACAAAACATAGCCGGGCATTGTGGCAGGCACCTATAGTCCCAGCTACTCAGGAGGCTGAGGCAAGAGAATTGCCTAAGCCCACAAGTTGGAGGTTGTTGTGAGCTGTGACGCCACAGTACTCTACCGAGGGCAACAAAGTAAGACTCTGTCTTTAAACAAAAAAAAGCTTTCTTTATGATTTTGATGATCTGTAACATTTGGGTTCCTTTGTTCTAGACTTGATCTTTAAGATGCTACCCTTGTGACCCTCTGGAGCCCTTTCCATAGAAGTTTATGCTCCAGGTTTCCTGTGGATAAATAATAATCCCACCCCACCCACCCCCGCTTTTTTTGAAATAAAGTTTCACTTTCTTGCCAGGCTAGAGTACCATGGAATCAGCCTAGCTCACAGCAACCTCACATTCCTGGATTCAAGCAAGTGGTTTTCTTGCCTCAGCCTCCCAAGTAGCTGTGAATACAGATGCCCACCACCACACCCAGATAATTTTTCTATTTTTCATAGAAACGGGACCTCACTCTTGCTCGGGCTTGTCTCCTGGCCTTGTGCAGTCCTCCCACCTCCCTTGAGTGCTAGCATTACAGGCATGAGCCAGCACACTTGGCTCATTTTCAATTTTTAAAGAAAACCTTGTTCATGCCATTCTTTAAATGGACATTCATGGGTATTGTTACATCACAGTGGTACTTATGTTACATTGGACACATCTAAAAGAATGATTTAACAGGTTAATTTGAAAATATCAATTATATTATTAGCCAGGCACAGTGGTTCACACCTGTAATCCTAGCCCTCTGGGAAGCCGAGGAGGGTGGATTACTTCAGCTCAGGAGTTCAAGACCAGCCTGAGCAAGAGCAAGACCCTGTCTCAAAACAACAACAAAAACACACACAAAAAAACTAGTCAGGTATCGTTGTGGGAGGCTGAGCCAAGAGGATCGCTTGAGCCCAGGAGTTGAAGGTTGCTGTGAGTTATGATGCCACAGCACTGTACCAAGGGCAACAAAGTCAGACTCTATCCCCTACCTCCAAAAAAATTATATTCTTGCATATTCTATCTTTCCTAGTTAACCTTAAGGTGAAAAATACTTGCTGTCAGGTTTCAAAATTATGTTATGAGGTACAGAATTCTTATGGGGGCTGGGCATGATGGCATACACCTGGCAGTCCCAGCTACTTAGGAGGCTGAGGCAGGAGGATGGCTTGAGCCCAGGAGTTAAAAAGACTCTGTCTCACAGAAATAAAATAAATGTTGATAAATGTAATTAATTATAAAAAATCTTCTTAGGGGGTATATGTGAACAAATATCTGAGCACAGCTTCAAGAGCAGAATGGAGGAAATGATGGCAGTACCAAGAGCGGGGTTTGGAATCAGGCTAGCCGGGAAATCTCCACCCAGCTCTTGGGGTTGAAGTGTGAAGTGCCTGGCACAGAGCCAGCTGTTCAGCCAACACCTGCCATGTGCTGCCAATGTGCCAGGCACTGGGGGTAAAGTAGCGCTCAGGCAGACACACACAATTCCCTGCTCTCAAGGCATTAACATGCCAGGGGACACAGATGTAGTTAATCTGTTGCTTCTTTGTAAATTCTGTGCTGAATTTCTAAAGAGCTTTTAAAAAGACATTATTCTCAGGCAGTTTTAAGGAGCTGGGACTACAAAAGCACTGACTCATTTTTGGATATTTTAGAATGGATCCATCTAGATTCCGTCACTCTTATTAGCATATTCACCTGGGGAGGCATACACTTAGTGACAGGCCATTACTCAAAAGTCTTCAAGCTTCTTCTGTGGAATTGCCTTCACAGCACACAGTCATTTGAACATCCCTGGTGCTGGTAAAAGTTTGGCTTTGGAGGACAAATTTGTCTTGGAGGGGAATAAGAGTTGAAAATATGCTTTACTTGTAGAAATATAATAAACAGTCCTCATATTTGTATAACTTTTATTTCTTTCCTTACCATAGGTCCTGACGTTTTTAGTTCAAAGAGTCTTGCCCTTCAAGCCCAGAAGAAGATTCTGAGCAAAATAGCCAGCAAAACTGTGGCCAATATGTTGATTGATGACACCAGCAGCGAGATCTTTGATGAGCTCTACAAAGTCACCAAAGAGCACACCCACAACAAGAAGGAAGCCCACAAGATCATGAAAGACTTAATCAAGGTGGCAATCAAAATTGGGATCCTCTACCGGAACAACCAGTTCAGCCAGGAGGAGGTTGTTATTGTGGAGAAGTTCCGAAAGAAGTTGAACCAGACCGCCATGACCATCGTCAGCTTCTATGAGGTGGAATACACCTTTGATAAGAACGTGCTGGCCAAGCTCCTGCACGAGTGCAAGGACCTGGTGCACGAACTGGTACAGCGACACCTGACGCCCAGGACCCACGGGCGCATCAACCACGTCTTCAACCACTTTGCCGACCTGGAGTTCCTCTCCACCCTCTATCGCCTGGATGGAGACTGTCGGCCCAACCTCAAGAGAATTTGTGAAGGAATCAATAAATTACTAGATGAGAAAGTCCTCTGAATGCCTTCCCTCCTCCTGGACTTTGCTGCTTTAACATTATGGCACCCAACCATGGTCCGGGTGAGAATCACATAGCCAAGCAGAAACCCTTGTTGAAGATGTCTGTGTTCTGTCCATTTGTCCCTCTGATGCTGATGCTGAACTCAGCTCAGGTGTGTTTATCTTCTGAGCTCTCTGACGAAGTCTGTACTTAAAATCACTTATGTTTGCAAGTCCAAAAGGACATTTCATCTATTCTAAGCAGATAGGCTGCTTTGCTCATCACAGTGAGCTCAGTTCATCTCGAGGAGTAGAAGGAGCCCTGGACCATATGGATTTGGTTCCCAGCTCCGCCAGTTACAACTCTGTCCTTTGTGTCCTGGAACCACGATGCCACCTGCCTACCTCACAGGGCTGTTGTGAGGACTGAATGAGATGACGTATGTTCATGGTTTTGAGAACACGAATGTAAGGTCTTCGTATTTTGTCCTCTGGGTGTGAGAGGTATAAACCTGGATCTAGACGATTGAGCAGCAGAGAAGAAAAGAACAATAGAATCTATAGGCTGGGTTTGCAGTCTGCCTCTAAATGTGCCCCTTCCAACATGGTGAAATCCAAAGTATGGCTGTAAATTGGAAAAATGTTTTCCAAGAGCTGTGTTTCTGAGTTCTTAGATGTGCAGGTTCATGACCCTGTGTAGGGGAACCTTCCACGGGGGTTGGGGAGAGAGTGTCCCACCCGTAACACGGAAGCAGAGATGGTCTGTGCTCCCTCTGCAGGGCCAGCATCCCCTCACCCAAGGGCACCATCCACTGGGCAATGGGAATAAGCATGTGAGTGGGGCAGAATGAACCACCCCGTCTGTTCTTCTTGGCCTTTCACAGTCATTTTCTGCTGTTTTCTCTGGTTCATTAATAAATTAAAAATACCCTTCAAAAAAGTGGTCTTAGAGTTGTGATTTAAAATAAAATTCCTTTGCATTTCATACAGTATTAAGAACAACAGGCTAGAAAAGAAGAAAATGAAGAGCAAGAGGTGTACACTCAGTCCCCAGGGGAAGCGCTCCAGGGAAGCACAGTGGGTATTGTGAGTGGCTGATAGGGCGCTAACCCATACAACAGACCTCCATCTCCAAAGGTCTCACAGCCCCACCCTCACACTGCAGCTTCGGAGGTCTTTTCATCATGGTCTTAACCAACAGGACAATGTATTTAGTTGCTCACAACATTGTGCCACTTTAAGAGACATGGTCCCCCTGCCTCACCTCTAGCCTCGTGTGCTTTTCATGCATCTGATAATAATGTAAAAAACTATATGAGCTCATCCCACCCCATGGGCTCTCTCTAGAAGGGGCATCAAGACATGGTTTGTGGGATTTAATACAAACAAAAACAAAAAGCAAACAAACAAAAAAAAGAGGTGGTTTGTGGGAGGGCACGTAGTGAAGTCCAACGAGCCTACCTTGGCCATTCAGCCTCAACTGGCTCCCAAGTCAACATGACTGCAAACCATCCAGGAAGTTCTTCAGCCACAACAGCCAGAATTAGTTTCTAGGATGGATATCCAGTACAGAACAGGGAAGAGTGAAGTCAGCCCCTGTTCTCCATACCAGACCAACATGGCCTGGGGCTTCTCAAGATGCAAGGGCTCAATGAGGATGCCCTGTGCACATCTGGCTGGGGCAGTCCTGGTCACTTGGCAGTGCTCCTAGGAGCTGAAGGCAGCAGGCTCCCCTTCTTTCCTGCTTGCCTGCCAGATAGCAGTCAGTAGCTGGAATTTTCCACGCTGAGCTCTCAAGGCCTGCCTTGGTGTGCTCATCTGACAAGGACTGCCTTCTAGCTCAAGAAATAGTTCTAGAAATAAGCTTGATTTTCATTACAGGGAACTCCAACCAGGGAGGAACAGCGGACCTGTCTGACACAGTAGGGAGGAGGGCAGGATCTGCAGCCATAGAAGGTTGTGGCTTCTGCCTCCACAGGCCACAGCACAAGCGGCACAAGCGGTGGTGGCAGAAGAACAGCTGTCTTGGGTTGTGACAGCCCACAAGTCCCTAGGGAAACTGGATCCCTCTTGCTCTGGTCGGGTGCAATGGCAGAGTGTGGACCCAGACATCTTTTAATTGACTCAGGCTCCCTTGCTGCAGGAGCCAGTGGGCCTTCCATACAAGGGCCCCAAGTTAAGGCCAGGGGAGCAGGGCTACTATGCATAAGCAACTCATTTCAAAATACAAAGCCAAAACCAATCCCAAGCACACATTTCAGACATGCTATTGGCATCCAAACTCAAATGATTCTCAAGTTTCATCAAGCAGCTGGAAAGACCCACAAATGTCAGAGACTTCGTATAAAAATCTAGAGACCAAAGACAGAATCTTATTACACAGTCATATTGGTTTATCCTGAGGACTCTAACCACATCTGGTAGCCCCAAAAATCTGTTTTGGCTGGAAAAACGTAAGAGAGGCTGGCAGATGCTTTTGAAAACAGGCCTCTGTGTGGGTGCATCTGTGCTCAGAACTCTGTACAGAATTTCCAGTAATGAGAACCACAAAAGCAAAGGTAGAGGTATCTACATGTAGGTGTCCCCAACAACGAGCATATCATTTTGCAAAAATGATGGGAAAGGAAACTAATTTCAAAAGGAGCAACAGTACAAAGTCACTCACTGCTAAGCCCCACCCGGACTTCAGAGAGCAGTGCCTGGCTCTGAGGATCAAGTAGAGACGTAACTCATTAAGGGTTGGAAGTGGAGGGAGCAGCTCTTACCAGTCATCTGGAAGCTTCACTGGTCTTCGACCCTCCCTCCCTGAACACTCAGCTCTGTCCCCACAGGGGGACACTAGGGACTCGTGATGAAATTCCCAGCCTGCCCTCTGGTCTGCGTGTCCTTTTTCACATCTCTGAACCCTGCAGACAGACACATTCCCTGCCAGCTGCCGCCTGCCATGTGCGGTATCACTCTGCCTCCCTGCTTTTGCATCTGTGAGTCTTAACACCCTCTGTAACTCCAGGTCTCTGCTCGGTGACAAATCAAAATGAAAAGACTTCTCCATCTGTGCTTCTTCTCCAAACTCCCATTTCCCTCATCTGTACATTTTTCAGAAACAAATCAGTACAGTGTGTCCCAACAGTCACCCGTAACGTAGCCACATCGGGAAAATGGGGAATTGTAGCTAAATGTCCTTTTATTTCCAAAATGTTCATTACAAAATTTTAAAACAATATTTTCAAAATATTCTCAACATGTGGGCCACCTCTTTGTAAAAAAAGAATATTTTAGAAATAAAGGTACATTTAGCTACAATTTCCCATTTTCCAGCATTTGGTGACTTTACGGGTGACTTTTGGGACAACCTGTAGATTGGCTGCTCCAACGAACTGCTCGCCTCTGTTAATATAAAAAGAGAAAGGAACTCAGGCCTGTATGTCCTCTGTCCCTGTATCTTTGGGGCTGTTTTGTTTTCTGTCTGTTTAATAATTCAACAGGATCCCAGAGACCCAGAGCAAAACTAATCAGTGAAAATTCTGATTAGCCAACTTTGGCTGTGAAAATATCACATTAGCAGGAGCTGTCTAACAATGGCCTAGGATGTTGACAATCAGATGGCCTTGGAGGAGAAGCTCACCAAGGCCCTCCCAACAGAGTCATGTGGCCAAATGGCTTCCCTTATTTTTCTGACCCTCTGAGATGACCCACAGCCCAAACTAGGCCCAGCCTTGTCCTCCTCCTTTAGGTGGAGGTCTTGCTTATTGGGGAAAAGACTCTTCTACAGCAATATTCCTCAAAATAGCATCTATGAATCCCCAAAAGTCCTTAGAACAGGGCCCAGGGGAGCTAGAGCCCATGAGTTTCAAGAGAAGTTCTTAATTTTTTGTTTTATTCTGAAACTTTCTTTTGAAAGCTAAAATTAACCTAAGTATGTTCTGAATCATGGAGATGAACTTAGAGCCATGTGATACCATCTGGTTTCAGAGTAGGAGTTTCTCATTGTGCAGTGTTTGTGCTGATAGAGCATCTCAAGTGAAAGAAAATAATTTATTTGTGTGTTTTTTAAACGAGGTCTAGCATCTCCCAGAGAGATCTACAGACATAGCTTGTGGTTCTGTGAGTGCTCAGTTTTGACAGATAATTCTACATGTATGAAAATGGAGGCTCGCAGGAATGAATGTCACCTTGTCCTCAACAGTGACTCATTTGTGGGGGCTCAAAGGCTGAAAGGCGAGTTAGTGTGTGGGGTCATCTAGGTGTGCTTTACATGTAGAGGTGGGTTTCCACATGTCCCGCCTGCCAAGATGGGCCAGAAAAGCTACCACATCTAAATTGAATCAGAGAATTGACTAACCTGTCCAGGCAATCCTGAGACTAAAGAGTGTCCTTCTCTGGACAAACCAGACATTTCCTCCTAAGGAAGGGAATGGAGGAGGAACCAGGGAGAAGTCACCTGCACGTGCTCACGCTGCCTGAGTTCCAGCCTCAGCTACTGGCATGCAGACACAGTCTCAGGCCTTAAGAGACCTTGTGTGGTTCTCAAGTCCCAGGAGTTTGTTCCTGATGAATGAGGCACGTGGCACTCAGATACTGGTAGCATCAAATTCCCCCTTCCAGTCCCAGAAAAAAGAGAGGTCAGCCCGAGCAAACACTCACACCTGCCCGTAGCAGCACCTCAGCACCACTACTAACTTTGCCTTTTCCTTACTTGTTCCTCCTGAGCTGGGGCAGGTCTCTGCAGAAAAGGGTCCAGACCACCCACCCAGGCAGCCAAAGTCTGGGCAGCCAGCCTTCCCAGGCCTTGATATAGAGCTCCTCTTAGCTGACTACTAAGGACCATTCTGGACCAGTTCCTAGGACAAGGGAGTATGGGATTTGGCTCTTAGCTTGAAGAGCAGCTGGATAGGAGCCAGAGCTTGGCACGGAGTGAGTGCCGGAGGCTAATGGGAAGCAGCAATTAGGGTATGTTAGGGAGAAAAGCGCTTTTTAGGCTCTGTCACCTGTGATGGCAGAGCTTATGGGCTGGTCCCCAAGGAGTGATCTGGGCTCCATCCACCTCCCGGATCAGCCGGCTTCCTCCTGAGAGGGTCATCTTTCCTCTGGTGATGAGATGGGACTGCCCCTACTTTGTGTTTCAGAAACAATTACAACTTGGTTTTAGAAATAGATCATTGGATTTGGATTTGGGGGGACAGAGGCGATGGATGTTTTGGAGTGTGTTGCTCTTTTCAGCTTGCATGGATAGCAGAAAGTATAGAACATGGAAGCAACCATGAGTCAGGAGGCACAGTCTTAGCTTGCCCGCGACCTGGTGCCATCCTTACCCTTCACGTCAACTGTAAAAGCAGAGTGTTGCACAGGCCCTTCTGACTCCTACGCTTCCCCAGTTCCATGTCCTGAGCAACGCTGAAGAGCAGCTCTGGATATTTCTGCACTGTAATTTTCTTAGAAGGAAAACCTATTCATTATTTAAATGAAGGAATAGCTTCCAAATTGACAAATAACTCAATTATTTTCTTTAAGACTTTTGAACGAAGATCTGATTTCATGGATTTTAGAGGGGAAAAGCTTTAAGCCAGAAGACGCAAGGAAAAACAAGACTCTATAAAGACCAGGGAACTGCACAAGGTGGGCCCAGGTAGCCAGCCAGGCCGTCAGCTTGGCAGGAGCTGCTGGGAGTCAATGTCAGGCCCAATCCTCAGCTAAGACATACATTCCAAATTAAAATTGTGTCAGACTCCAGTAAAATATCTCAGGACACATAATAAGGTAGTAAGCAAAGCCATGAATAAGTCATTATGGATTTGAATCAAATATAGGATACTACCTAAAGTATTTTAAAATATATTTTAAGAGTCATTCCCCCAACAAATGAAACATTTTATGGAATTCTGAGACCTCTTTTTGACAGCTTTATGGAGATAGAATTCA